TCTGAGTCTGAACATCTACATCATAGCCCAAGTCAGCTGGTATGGGCCAGTTGCGGGAGTCTAATTGCAATGTAGACATACCCTAAATGACCATAAAGAGGACCCAGGCTCTTCTCATTATTTTCTTGATTTTGCAGTCATTATGAGTTTGTTTACAAGAGCTGTCCTTGTACTATGAAAAAAAGGAGAGAACATTTTTAGGAAGTACTGTCTCATTTGTATGTGACTTACAGGATATTTTGCCAGAAGTTTTTCAATTTCTAATGCATTTCTGTGGTAATAAATATTACTGTTGCTGACAGCAAAAGGAATTGTTATGCAGAGTATAAAATTAGTTGCTTATATACTTTAACTCTGATTTCGTGCTCAGTTGTTGTAATGAATGGGTTTCAAGGACAAACAAATTCTGGAGGTTTGCAAAAGCACATGTGCTAATGAGACATCTAGTGCCAATCCAACCACAAAGTTTGCATGTCCTTCACATATTTTGTTACCACTTTCCTGGCATTTAGCAGGCAATTAAAAGAGCAATTATCTTTTCTATCCTACAAATTGAGCAAAACTGGATCTCAGATTTCATATTAAATATTTCTGTTTAGAGGGCCAGGGCCAGCTCTTGTGAAGCAAGTTAGTGATTAGTATAGTAACACAAACATGTGGTGTTGAAAAAAATCACCACATATGGCGGAAGTAGTGCTACTCTGTATATTTCTCCCAATGGGCCAGAGTCTGATACTGTACACATGTTGAATAGAACCTTACTCGTAGTTAGGCAATGAGCCAAAACTGTACATGAGCTTGGAAATTCAGACACTACATTTCACTGTTTTTTCAGACGTGTAAGTATCTGAATTTATTACTGCCCTGGTTATTTGCTGATAATAAGTGAAGTGAAATATATTAAATCTAATCATCTACTTTTGATGATGGGTATATTTCTTATTCATGGATGGCAGGAAGCCCTTACTTGTTACTCATGTGGTGTGGTACAAATTGGAATCAGTATTTGAATTGAAAATAAATAAGTATTTCGCAAATTTATCTCTATACCAAATCCAACAAGAACAGTATTAACATAACCAGGAAAAAAGTATCATTAGTAAGGGCTAGTGAACCATAACATACAGAGGGGAATAAACATTAAAGCACACACACATAAATAATTTGATAGAACTGTTTCCCAGCTTCAAAAATAGCATATCCTAAATCTACACCATAAAATACAATAATAAATGCAGAAACAAAACTCAGTACGACAATAGAACGAAATAAAGCAATTACTTTAACAAATAATTTAATAATAGAGTGAGAGGGCATTTATACTGGGGTGTTTTGGCTAAATTTCAACTAAGGTAATTATATTTTGTTTACCTAAATTCTTCCTGCAGTTTCAGTTGGAAATGGCTTAACTTGTGTAACATCCCAGTGTGCTGCAAAGAGATTTTGTTTCACCCCAGAAGTGGCTATAGTTAACTGACAGCTAAATCTCTATGAGTATACAAACCCCTTGAGGTTTGTAAGTGTTTTGGGATCCTTCACGATAAAAGGTACTATATAAAATTATTACACCGATGATTATTTATGCTAGCAGTATATATAAAGGGGGGGGGGACTTTGTTAGAGGAAAACAAGAAGTGGAAAATGTGAAAGCAAAATGTCCTCAAAAAGTACGCAGTCTTTCACCATTAGTCTTATATGAAAGCCGATAGCCTGCAGTCAGGCATATTCTTATTTCTGTAATGAAATTTATGAACAGATAATAAGAGGAGAGGATATGAATATTGCTTCTTGCCTTGTTGCCACCTTTTCATGACATTTTAGTTAATTACCCTGTACCATAATGATGTACTGCTGGGTGTGCAGAGATTCAAGATAGCAAGGTAGTGATGTAGTTGCTTTGAGAAACGATGCCAACATTGCATCTCTGCATGACGTTGGAAGGAGAAGAAACAGTTGATCAAATGTCCCAAACTCAGAATAAATTTTGATCAGGCAAATAAACCTCTGCAGGGTTAAGGAGGCTTCACCTTCACCTTTAACCATATGTGTAAGGGGGTTATTCTACCACAGTAAACCACTTGCCTACTAAACGAAAGTAGTCAGATTTCAGGAGTTGGTCTGCTCATATGAACTTCTTCTGGAAAAGATTATTTGAATAAGAATACACTAATTGATCAAAATTATCAGGCAGAATATCCTCTGCAGGTTCTTTAGATAGGGATCAGATAGCTCTGGATGTTCACTCTGCAAGTTGCAAGATGACAGTATGAAACTATAGCTGTTGGAAGGGCACCCAGTCTACTGTTATAAAATAAGAGCAAAAGATGGTTGCTTGGTCCAGTACTGTCCTATTTTTGCATGTGTATTGGAGAAGGCATTTGGCGGTGCACAGGTGCACACACACACAATATTTGCCTCTTTGTTTATACGTACGTAGCTACAGTTTATATCCCAGATATAAAATAAAGTATATAGAGAAGTATAGGCTGCAACTTGTCTTTGGAGTCAGCCTTCTTTTGTTGGTCAATATATAGGACAGTGTCTAGGTTATAGACATCACTTTTAAGGAAGAGATGGAAGTGACATTTTATAAACTAGTTCTGTTTATGTTTCCAGTGGTTTAGACAGACTCAAGAAGGGACACAAATATTTTATTATATAAGGATAAAAAATCCAGGAAGATGTCAAGTGTATTCAAAAATAGTTACCTGAATTCCACTAAGGATTAATGTACAGCTTCTCTTCCTGTCAACACCTCATGGATTTCTGCCCATGCCTGGGCCATCTGTATTGTTCAGTTTAATCACTCAGGAAAGTCATGAGCCCTGCTGCATGCCTGCACAAGACAGTAAATATCCCCCTTATTCCTCTGTGTGGTTTACCCACATTGCCAGACCATCTGCATGGGGGAGAGCTGCTATTCCTCTTCCTGCACAGATGAAAGGGTGGAGCCAAGACTCTGCACCATGCGCTCCTGTCCCATCCCATCACGGAGCCATGGTGGAGGTGGCAGTCATCTGTGGCAGGAAAGGGGCTGATGCAGCCAGGAGCACCGCCAGCTTTTCTGTCGCCCTAGGCGGCAGAAGGTCCCGCCCCGAAATGCCGCCCCCACAGAGGCGGCAGAAGGTCCTGCCGCCGAAATACCGCTGCGGTCGCCGCCCCACAAATTTTAGTGCGGTCGCCTAATGGGTTGCGCCGGCCCTGGATGCAGCATACTTCCACCATGGAATAAGGCATCTGAATTGTTCTTCTCAGAATCACAGTTAGGTCCCTGTCCTGCTCCTGGGCCAGCACAGTTATTCACTATCCACTGTCCCTTAATTGGACTGGATTTTGAGGTAGCAATCTAGCCACTAGAGCCGGGGAAGATTATAAAAGGCAGAGAATGAGAGAACAAAGCTTTTCGCTCATTACATCACAAAGGGATGGATGCTCATGGGCTGGAGACCATGGGATAAGCCAGCCCTGGTTACAGGATGAGACACACCTGGGTTGCATCAAGTGATCTGCATGTAAAAAACAATGCAGGAAGTTGCAGTAAAGGGGGGAAGACAAGGAGATTGCAGCTATGGCTGTAGATACTGCAGGGAGCAAGAAGGCTTCTGCAGGTCCTGAATCAGCAGGGAAAAAGCTGAAGAAGCAGGAGAGATTGGGAGAAGGCTCTTCAAGCAGGGAGGCCTCGGGGAGACCCTGTCCAAGCAGGAAAGAGACTTGTGACGGCCAACTGGGCCAAAGACTGTGTGAGCTTGTGCTTTGTTAATCAGCAGGCAGACAGTGAACTGGCCTTAAGGCCTAGAGCAGCGGTCTCCAAAGTGGGGTGCGCGAGAGGATCCTTGGGGGTGCGCGGCAGGTTTTTTGTTGTTTGTTTTTTGCTTCGGCGCAGCAGGGGGTGCGTGCTCAAAATTTTTTTACTGATAGGGGTGCGCTATCAAAAAAGTTTGGAGACCACTGGCCTAGAGGACCAGAGGACTCAATAAAGTAGACTCCAAGAGAGAGCTTGTTTGAACTACGTGTGGACAATCAGTTCTTAAAGGGCCCTGAAGAGAGGGGTAACAGAGGCAGAATGACGTAGAATGACCTTTGGCCACTTGGTGATGCTCAGGTTGAGGCCAGCCCACGTTTAATTGCAAATGTATTCATTAAAATGAAGAATTTATTCTATTTGAAACCCTTACAATGCCTTATAATTCTTTTTAATATTGACTATTATGTGTTACTTGATTAAATACATGCTGAATTTCACAACAGTCTTGGATTTTCCATGAGGATATTGTAAAGCAAGAGTGGACAGTTGATGTTGAATAACAATATAGAAAATAATCTGTGGGATTATTTTCTATATTGTTATTCAACATCAACTGTCCACTCTTGCTTTACAATATCCTAGATTATAGGCAACGGACATTCATATCCCAGGAATCCTAGATTTACCCCTAGATGATGAGAATGCCAGAACAAAGAGAGACTCCTTGATAAACAGGTAGCAAAATTTCGGAGAACTTTTCACAGACAATAAAATATTGGCATATCCCACCAATAGGATCATAAATATATTCTCAGTGGCCTGTTTCCATGCAAATTGGTCACAAGAGTTTTGCTCCATTACTCCTGAGAAGCTCAGCAATGAAGATAAATTAGGTAACCCACAAGGATGTATTGGAGGGCCTGATCCAAAACCTACTGCATTCAATGGAAAGACTTAATGGGTGCTGGATCAAGCCCATATACCAATTAGTTCTAGGTTCTAAACCTGCCATAACCCTTTCCTTGAAACGCTACCCCATCGCTGACCTAAAGTAATCTTGTAGCATCAGTGTGTCTATGCTGGGTGGGGCTCATTACAATAACCCTTATATTGAAATGCTGTGTAGTCAGGTATGCAATGTAGTGTTGTGGTGTTTCTTTTTTTCATCATATTGTGAATGTCAATTGACGATTATATAAATTTTAAACTGACATCGAGTGTGCTTTGTAATACTCAAAGTATTTTATCTTCACAGTTTGCCGGGAAGATTCATATCAGTCCATAGTCTCCTGTGCTGCCGTAGTACTTACACCTATAGAACCACCTGGGGAAGCAAAGAAAAAAGAAGAGCCAAAAATGCCTGATGTGGCCAAACGGTGAGTGAATTGTTAAAATATTCGTTTCCATTGCAATTTAAGCAGCAAAACCAAATTGTGCCCTTAGATATGCATGAGCAATTCCTTTCCACTTCACCAAGATTTATGATGATATAGCTGAGGGCAGAAATTGGCCTGAGCCTGGGTAAGTTTCTTTTGTTTAACAGTAAACACCTTCCAGTGGTTGTGGTAATGAGGTGGTTTTTCAGTGTGAGGTAGGCAACAGACATTCATATCCCAGGAAATAGATTTTTAAAGAGTTTTATTACGGTTTTTTATTTCTATATAAATAATTCTTAATACTTGCATAATCTTTCTATTCAGTAATTGATAGTATAAAGACCATTCATTCCTAAAAGCTTTGCTCTACTTTGATATTTCAGTATTTTTCAGTGACTGTTTTACTGCTTTGATGTAAGGTCTGATGGCAGCTTCAGGAGTGTAGTAGTGGGCTTCCAAGTAAATCCTATTAAATTAAACAGACTGTAGTTTGATATCTTGCACCACTGCTTTGGATGAGAATCATAACCACAGCATGGGTAGCAGCATTTATCTTGAAATACCAGGCAGGATGGTTGTTCCTTAACAATTGAGTCCTTGGAGAATGGAAAAGACACATTTTTAATGAAAAGAAGAAAATACTTTGTGCAGTGACAAAGCACTGCAGTTAAAATTGTAGGCCATACATTTTAAAATGCACAAGGTAATTTTAAAAATAATTTAGGATTCTATAGTATCAACCATCATTACTCAAGGATAGATCTTCGGGCTGCATTAAAGTCCTTATCTTCAGTTCAGCTAGCAGTAAGGAAACTTAATTTTGGATATTTATTATCAGAAATTCTATTTCCACAAAACCTTAGTCTGAACACTTGCAAACTTTGAAAGGTTAAGAAGTTAGAAATCAGGTCCTCAACCTAGATTCAAATGTGGTAAGTCAGGATCAAACTTAGAAATATTTGCGCTCTTTCTATTTTATTGCAGCTAGTACCAGATCTGACCCACAACACCAGATCTGAAGTCTGTCCATCCCCATTCCTTCTAACCTACATAGGCAGTTTGAATTCAGATCCAGATCAAGATCTGAACTCCATGGCTCAGGCCTGTATCCAACTGTAATATGTATTCCACTTTTGAGATAAGTCATTTGTTGTGAGTCTATCTATAATTAAATGATTAGCTACATCATAGACATTACTTTTGCTATTATTACATTCAGTCAAATATTGGAACATATTTTTATATAGTGTGTAATGGTATTTTAGGAACATGATTCTGCATCATATCCTTCTGTACCCTTCTGAATACAAAGTATTTGAAGAAGGTTTTAGGACTCAAAGTTTTGGACGGGGATCTAGAGTATTCAGGCTGAAACACTACAGTAAATTTGTATTTTCTCTCCACTGAGAAGCAAACCTGCAGTGTTCTTTGTACTACCTTCTCCACTACTAATATGATCTGCAGTTTCGCCTTTGTAATCTCTTGTGGATTTGGTCTAAGGCAATTTCCGTATGTGCTCAAGGAGTGAATGATGCTTCCTGGTTGACTTTTTCCTTCACCTAATTGATATTAGCAAGTCTGTTTTTTTCCCCCTTTAAAAACACACTGGCGATGTTTTCAAAAGCACCCTGGCAATCATATAAATGTCTCTGGTCTCATGCACACACGGGTCTCAGTAACAAGCTCTGACCTCTGATACTGTAGAGATTTGCATACTTCAAAATGTGCACCTCTTGCACTGTGACTGCTGAAACATATTTGAATGTACCCACATGAATCGAAAGCAAATACTATCACTTGATTAGTATATTTGTAACAATACATCTCCCAGATTATACAGGGGGCAGGAGGGGAAACACATCTCCAGAACTGCTGAGCATATCTTTGATTAAGATTTCAGTAAATTATCTTGAAATTTTCAAAGCACTTTGGAACCAATTACTTAATTTTATCATTCATTTATTGTGTGATGTTATGATTAACTAACATGTCATGTCATATATAATCATTGTATGCTAAATAGATTTAAATTGTAGGATTATAGAAGTATGAGATTGATTAGTATTTAGACATAAGTATGTATTAGGTATAAGTAATTAGAGCTGAATCGTAAACCTACAAGCTGAGGCCTGTAAAATGTCAGTTTAGCAATACTAGGCCATAGATTTAAGAAATCCTTGACATAAGTGACCAAAGAATTATGCCACAAAATTATGAGAAAAGATTTGCCAGTGAGTGATATTGTGAAAAATTAAAGGCAAGATTAACTTTTTATTACAAGATACCCGATAGTCACATTTTTCTAACACATGCTCTAACCGCAGGGTGCCCTATCTGTGTAACTCCTAATGAGAATAAAAGGAACCTATGAAAAATGGAGTGCCCCAGTATTCTTGGGGGACACAATACAAATGAGGAAAAAGTGAATGGACACCTCCGTGCAAATGCACAGAATGTCAGTGTAGTCATAATCACAAGATAAAGGTGGGCTCTCAAATTAGGTAAAATTAATTATTTACAGGAAAATGCTAGCAGGAATCATCCCTCTCCTGATGATTAATTGGTAAGGCATCCATCAGACCCTAAGAATATTGTTAAGGAAGTCAGTATAACTATATTTGTAACTTGTGCATAGGTCTTTATAGGATTTTTAAATGCTTGGGTAATCATAACCTTAATTGTAACTTTAATAAAACTTGTAAAACAGACTAGAGCCATGTCTATATTTAGAAGCGTACAGTGGCACAGCAGTACTGATACAGCTCTGCTGCTGTAAGAGTGCTTGTGTATCCGCGTCATGCCAGTGGGAGAGAGTCTACCATCAACATAATAATACCAGCTGAATGAGGGGCAGTAGCTATGTTGGCGGGAGAGCATCTCCCACCGACATAGCGCTGTGCGCATGAGCGCTTATGCTGGCAAAGCTTATGTCACTCAGGGGTGTGTTTTTTCACACCCCTGAGCAACAAAAGTTTTGCTGACGTAAGTGCTAGTGTAGACATGGCCTAGATCTTGTACTTGTGTGTACTTGAATGTGTGGTCACTATCCTTGGTCTTTGTGTGTTCCTAGACACTCTAAATCTGAAGCAGGTATCAGAAGTGGCTTTCACTTTGTTGAGCTCGAAACTGTAGCCACCAGAGCCGAACCCCATGGTGGTGTAATACAACATTACTAAATTCACTTTAAATAAAATACAAGGCTACAGTTTACTGGGAGGATTAAGGCGTAATGGCTGAGTGTTGTGGAGCACCATTCTTAATGCCCCTTTCATTTCTTTCTCCTATCTCCATACATTTTTTTCACGCTATTGTCTACACGAACATCATTTCCATCCCCATTCATTAAACTATGACCCTCTTTTCATTCAACATCTCCTTTAAAATTTGCTTTTTCTATGAGGGCCACTAATAAAGAATTTAGAATTGGGCGAAAAACCCAAGCCCAGTAATGTGTTCCTGCATTTAGATATCCCAGTGTGTCTTCTGTTTGTGTCCCTCTTAGATGCCAAGCCTGCAAACTGGCTTTGCATTGTCAGGCTCCAGTCGCCATACAGAACCACGCTGACTTCATTTCAACTCTGCATGGATGGATGATTCCATTTATATGGAGCAGCTTGGAGGTTCAAGGCTTTAGATTGTAAAATCAGGGATTACTAAACTGTAGATGATGTTTGCTGAATAGAATGTAGGAGTTAGTCTATTTAACAGTATCTTGGGTGTACACTTTCTGTGCGTCTTTCTGAAAATGTTTTTGGGTGTGTGTAGATGTAAATAAAATTGAAATAAATAACCAAATACTGTTGAAAGAGGGTGTGCTCCCCAATAATGATGCGAGGCAGTAGTGTGGTATGACAGAGGTGCAAACATGGCTATAAAAATGGTCTTGTTGAGAAGACCATAAAGTGAACATATTTAATGGGAAAGTATGCTATATGTTTTTAAGGCTAGGAACGGATGCTCTGTATATATAAGTACCAAGTAAAATGTGTAATAATATAAATAAGACAAGATGGGTAAGGTAATACCTTTTATTGGGCTAACTTCTGTTGGTGAAAGAGACATGATTTTGAGCTTACACAGAGCTCTTCTTCAGGTCTGGGAAAGGCACTCAGAGTGTCACAGCTAAATACAAGGTAGACCAAATTGCTCAGCATAAGGACTTAACACATATTGTAAGAGACCATTCAAGGTGAAGTGGGCAGTTAACACCTCTGCTGTCATAGGATAAAAGAGGGAATTAATGGGTTATGGATTGTTGTAATGGGCCACAAATCCAGAGTCTCTGTTCAGTCCACGATTTGTCGTATCTCACAAAGTTATGAATTTAAGCTCCCAGACTGATGTTTTTAAGATGATGTGCAGTCTTCCTTTGAGGACAGGGACTGAGAGGTCAGATATGAAGTGATCATTTTGTGAAAAGGGTTCGCCCACAGGTGATGCAGTGTTTTTGTCTTTCATCATTTTTCTGTGTGAGTTCGTTCAAGAGGATAGTGATTGTCTTCTTTCACCCAAATAGTTGTTGTTAGGACATTTAGTGCACTTGATGAGGTGCACCACATGTTGTGATAGGCATGTGTAGGACCCATGGATCTTGAAAGGTGTGTTGTGGGGGTTATCATTTGAACCGTGAAGATATGTCTTCAGGTTTTGCATCTGTTGTTCTGGCAGGGTCTGGTGCCACTTTTAGTTGGTGTGTCCTGATCTGTGGGGAGCTTGCTTCTAATGATGAGCTTGGTGAGCTGTTTGAAGGCCGGAAGAGGGGGTTCAGGAAAGAATATGGGGTTTAATGATACCAGTGTGGGTGGTAGGTGGTATCTAGGGGGGTTGCATTTGGAGGTTGTTGTTTTTTCTGTATTAAGGCAGGTTTATTCGAGGTATTTGGGTGCTCATTTCATGATGCAATCTACTTCTTGGATGGAGTGTCCTTGTTTGGTGAAGGTGGTTTTAAGTATGCTAAGGTATGTATCTCAGACTTTTTCCTTGGATTATGTTCTGAGTTC